TTTTTGCCAATTATAAATGGTGATGGTGCGCCATAAATAACTTGAATTTAAATGGATCGCATTTGACTTTTTTTTTTTTACCTTGAGACAGAGTCTCGCTCTGTAGCCCATGTTGGAGTGCGGTGGCACGATCTCGACTCGCTGAAACTCCACCTCCAAGGTTCAAGTAATTCTCCTGCCTCAGCCTCTCTAGTAGCTGGGATTACAGGCGCCTGCAACTATGCCTGGCTAATTTTCGTATTTTTAATAGAGATGGGGTTTCACCATGTTGGCCAGGCTGGTCTTGAACTCCTAACCTCAGGTGATCTTTGACTTTAAAATGCTTGGCTGTGCTTGGCCCAGAGTGGTAGCTCACGCCTGTAATCCCAGCACTTTGGGAGGCCTAGGCAGTGGATCACTTGAGGTCAGGAGTTCAAGACCAGTCTGGCCAACGTGATGAAACCCCGTCTCTACTAAAAATACAAAAATTAGCTGGGGCAGGGTGGTGCAAGCCTGTAATCTCAGCTACTCAGGAGGCTGACGCAGGAGAATCACTTGAACACAGAAGGCGGAGGTTGCACTGAGCCGAGATCGCGGCACTGCATTCCAGCCTGGGTGACAGAGAAAGACTCGGTCTAAAAAAATAAATAGATCGATAGACAAATAAATAAATAGATAGTATAAAATGCTTGCTTATGCTGGAAGGCCTGGGTTCTAGGTTGCTTTGCTCACAAGAACTTGCCCCTCTGTGCCTCAGTTTCCTCATGCTGCCTGCCTACTTCCCAGAGTTGCTGTAAGGATCTGCTCAGGATATGAACAGTACCCTGTCTGGCATTGCTTACCCACCTTAGGAGGAAGGGTGAGTATCCATCCAGACAATGAGAACTACCTGCAGTGACGTGGCAGAGGGAACGCAACTGTCTCTTTCCTGCAGCGACCTCGGGGGAATGCAAAACCACTACACACAGAGAAAAACCTGTGAGCCTTGATACGGGCACGTGTGGGGATGAGTGTAATTGATGAAGGCAACTTTGCACGTGAACGTGGGCATTCACAGAACAAGAGACATGAAGGGTGTTTACAGGGTAGCTCCTCAGGTGCCTTCCTCTTACAGACCAATGAACTGAGCCCCGGAGAGAGGATCTGTGAGCCCGACTCACAACCCACCTTCAGTGTTCCTCTGAAATTGAAATATAAATGTTTTCCTAGTCAGTGGCTTGCCTTTTTCTACTACTGGTTGACGTAATGTTTGAATTTCTGATGAATGTCAAGACTAGTGACATTTTCTTGGATGTGTTTTCTGCTAATCTTAGAGAATTTCTGCTAAGCTCTTTGTGTACACACACACGCGCACACACGCACACCTGTGCACACACACCGCTGGCTAGCACAAAGCCGTCAAAGGAAATTCGTTTATCAAGACTCTGTTTTTACTTGTTGGTTAATTGCTTTGTGCTTCTCAGGTTATCACACATGTTCTCTGAAAGCTGCATTTTAGAGTAGGTGATCAGGACATATTACTTGAGTGAATGAATGAATGAAGCTGTGCATTTGATACACATATATTTTTTTAAAGACACTCTGCAGGCATTCTCCTCCTTCCCATCAGCTGTTTGCTCTTGAACCAGCATTTACGGTCCAGCTTGTACTTACAACCGAACTAATGACGCTCCTTCAGGATGGATGTGTCAATCAGATTCTAGTGAAGAAATTTGCTAATTGTTTCTCTGAAGTCGTAAGCAGGTAGATTTGGTTATAATGACGGTACATGCACATATGGTATATATTTGCATGTTAGCAAATGACTCTGTGACTTACCCATCTTTGAAATATGCACAGTGTGACTTATTCACCTATGAAACCTGCACATTGATCTTGTTAATATCCGCACTGATGCAGCCAGTCGCAGTGGCTCATGCCTGTAATGCCAGCATTTTGGGAGACCGAGGTGGGCAGATCTCTCGAGGTCAGGAGTTCCAGACCAGCCTGGCCAAATGGTGAAACCCCATTTCTACTAAAAATACAAAAATTAGCTGGACATGGTGGCATGTGCCTGTAATCCCAGATATTCAGGAGGCTGAGGTAGGAGAATCGCATGAGCCTGGGAGGCGGAGATCACAGTGAGCCAAGATCACACCACTGCACTCCAGCTTGGAGGACAGGGTCAGACTCCATCTCAAAAAAAAAAAAACAAAAAACTCCGCGCACTGCAACAACCACTTACGAATCTTTTTCCTAGTTTCTTTAGAGAAATAACCAGAAAGACTCCTACCTTCTTCTTAACATCTCAGAATAAATAACTACCAAGGTAGACAGCAACAAAGTTTATCCAGAAGGCCGGCAAGGCCCTTGTGGGCCGGAGATGGTGATATTACTACTTCCTTCCTGGTCAGAGATGAGCTCCTACCTGCGGTCCCCAGCCATGGCACGGATACAGTATTGCTGTGTGGTTCTCCAGTGGCCCCTGGTCCAAGCAGACGTCTTTTGCCTTGTTGTTGCGAAGCTGCAAGAATAGACAAAACATGATCCGTCAGAGCTCCGCTAGTGGAGGTGTGGATGCCCAGTCACTGTTCTACCATGCCTTGGTTCCAACTTCATGATGGGAAGACCACACAGGCCTCTAAGTGAGGACCAGGGCTCAAGTCTGTGCAGTGATCACCTTAGCAAGAAAAATCAAGTCTTAAGGTGGATGGCATGGATCCTAGGTCTCTGACTGTGTCCTGGGCAGCTTGCCCCCCACCCTCACAGCACCTCCATTCCTAACATGAAAGGCAATCTGAGGGAACTTCTGCACATAGGAGCACTGGTTACCCAGATCTTAGGCTTCTAAACGGCTTTGAAGCTTCTATGTGGCTTATAGGCTTCTCAGTGGCTTCTAAGGCTTCTAAGTGGCTTGTAAAATCTAGTTATCCAGATGGTTAGGCTTCTAAGCCTCAGCACCAACATTGGTTTTCATAAACCAGGTAATCAAAGGTTAGCTTTTCAGGTCATTACATGCATAAAGGCATGAAGAACCTAAGAATCCTAGGCTGGACGCGGTGGCTCATGCCTGTAATCCCAGCACTTTGGGAGGCTGAGGTAGAAGAATCGCTTGAGCCCAGGAGTTCAAGACCAACGTGGGCAACATAGCGAGGCCCCATCTCTACAAAAACATTAAAACAAATTAACCAGGCATGGTGGCACACACGTGTAGTCCCAGCTACTCAGGAGGCTGAGACGGCAGGATGGTTTGAGCCCAGGAGTTCCAGGCTGCAGTGAGCCATGATTGTACCACTAGACTCCAGCCTGGGCGACAGAACAAGACCTATTTCTAAAAAAAAGAAAAAAAACCCTAAAAGCTTACTATCATAAAATGCTCTAGCAGTATCTATTTATATATTCAAAAACATATACCTATGCTGTGCTAAGCACCACTGTAGGTGTTTGGAATGCACCCACGGAGGAAATAGACAAAAGTCCCCAAAGTAACACCCGTGAAACTAGGCATGGGTCTTTGGGAGAATGTAAGAACTGATCTCATTTGGATCTCTGGGTGCATTGTGATCTACACGGGTATCCATCCCACCAGCACCCTAGGGTCTCAATGGGTGGGAAAAAGGTAATGTTGCTGGTCCTCTCCATCTATATTCATTCCCCTCCAGATTACATTCCCCATCGAAACAGAGAGGAAAAGGCATTCTGTTTCTTTTCTTTTTGAGACAGAGTTTCGTTCTTGTTGCCCAGGCTGAAATGCAATGGTGCAATCTCGACTCACTGCAACCTCCACCTCCTGGGTTCAAGCAATTCTCCTGCTTCAGCCTCCCAAGTAGCTGGGATTATAGTTGCCCGCCACCATGCCAAGCTAATTTTTTGTATGTTTTAGCAGAGACGGGGTTTTACCACGTTGGCCAGGCTGATCTTGAACTCCTGACCTCAGGTGATCCACCTGCCTTGGCCTCCCAAAGTGCTGGGATTATAGGCGTGAACCACTGCGCCTGGCCGGCATTCTGTTCTTTATGTACCCAAATTGTGTTTAGGCTCAGACAACTTGAGCAGATTTTTTTTTTCTTTCTTTTGTTTTTTTTGAGACGGAGTCTTGCTCTGTCGCCCAGGCTGGAGTACAGTGGTGCGATCTTGGCTCACTGCAAGCTCCGCCTCCCAGGTTCAAGCCATTCTCCCACCTCAGCCTCCCGAGTAGCTGGGACTACAGGCACCTGCAACCACCCCGGCTAATTTGTTTGTATTTTTAGTAGAGACAGGATTTCATGATATTAGCCAGGATGGTCTCGATCTCCTGACCTTGTGATCTGCCCACCTCGGCCTTCCAAAGTGCTGGGATTACAGGCCTGAGCCACTTTGAGTAGATTTTTAAATCCTTGTTTTTTTTCTTTGAGTGACAGGGTCTTGCCTGTACTCCAGGCCGGAGTGCAGGGGTGCAATCACAGCTCACTGCAGCTTCCATCTCTTGGCCTCAAGCAATCCTCCCATTTCAGCCTCCCAAAGTGCTGGGATTACAGGTGTTAACCACTATGCCTGGCTGAGAACTCTTTACATATTAAGGACATGAATGTTTTAACAGAGTATTTGCTTTACGTCATGATTTGAGACTGCCAAGCTTTTAAACTTTGTTCTAATGTTTCTGCAATCAAATCTATCATTCAGTAATTTAATAAATATTTATTGAAGGCCTGGTAAGTGCCTGACACTGTGCTAAATTTAATGAGCAAAAGACAAATAACATCGTCCCTGCCCTGAAGTAGTCCACGGTCTACTGCAATGACTGAAATATGCTAGGGCCAACAAGGAGAGCTTCTTTTTTAGATGGAGTCTTGCTCTGTCATCAGGCTAGAGTGCAGTGGCATGATCTCAGCTCACTGCAACCTCCACCTCCTGGGTTCAAGTGATTCTCGTGCCTCAGCCTCCTGAGTAGCTGGGACTACAGGCACACACCACCACACCCAGCTAATTTTTGTATTTTTAGTAGAGACGGGGTTTCCCCATACTGGCCAGGATGGTCTCAATCTCCTGACCTTATGATCCACCTGCCTCGGCCTCCCAAAGTGCTGGGATTACAGGCGTGAACCACTGCCACCGGCCAAGGAGAACTTCTTTACCCCTTCCAAGGATTCAGAGATAACTGCTAAGAGGTGACTCCTGCCCTAAGCATTAAAAGCATATGTAGGCTGGGTGTGGTGGCTCACGCCTGTAATCCCAGTGCTTTGGGAGGCTGAGGCTGGAAGATCGCTTAAGGTAAGGAGTTTGAGACAAGCCTGGGCAACATAGTGAGACCCCAACTTCACAAAAAATAAACAAAATTAGCTAGGCATGGTGGCATGTGCTTGTAGTCCCAGCTACTTGGGAGGCTGAGGTGGGAGGGTGGCTTCGGTCCAGGAGTTTAAGGCTACAGTGAGCTGAGACTGTGCCACTGGATTCCATCTTGGGTGACACAGCAAGGCCGTGCCTCAAAAAAAAAAAAAAGTTGTCTAGCGCCAACAGCAGTGGCTCACACCTGTAGTATCAGCTACTAGGGAGGCTGAGGTGGGAGGATTGCTTGAGCAGAGGAGTTCCTGGCTATAGTATGTCACGATCATGCTATTGTACTCCAGCCTGGGCAACAGAGCAAGACCTTATCTCTTTTTTTTTTTTTTTTTTTAAAAGGAAGAGCTATCTAAAAAATGGTTTTTTGATTAATTTGGTTTCTTTCATTCAACACTATAGTCCACCTGAAATGTATATCTGTAAATGGTGACACTCAGCAGGTAGAGAAGGAGTAATAGAACCAGATGCCTTAAAACGTTAACATTGATTATATCTGGGAACTGGGATTTGGAGTAAGTTTAGTTTTCATCTGTGTATTTCCAATAGACTGTATGTATTGATTTTATTATTTTAAAAGAAAGTCTGTAACACCAAAAGGCTTCTCTCTTCCAAATAATCAGATTCTGATCACAATGTCACTTCCAATGCCACCCCCACTGTATGGCTCAAGGGACATCATTTATACTGTGGTTGATGTCAAAGGCAGCTCCTGGAGTTGTGGAGTGCACAGACTGTGGAGCTGTACAGAGCAGCTCTGGCAGTCTTCTAGCCTAGGTGGTTTGTGCCTATAGCCCCAGATACTCGGGAAGCGAAGTGGGAGAATCACTTGAGCCAGGAATTCAAGGCCAGCCTGGCAACATAGTGAGACCTCATTTCTACAAAAAAAAAAAAAAGAAGAAAAAAAATTAGCCAGGTGTGATGATGTGTACCTGTAGTCTCAGCTACTCAGAAGGCTGAGGTGGAAGAATAGCTTGAGTCCAGGAGTTCAAGGCTACAGTGAGCCAAGATTGTGCCACTGCACTCCAGCCTGGGGGACACAGGCTGGTCGTCATTTTTATTGTTTCCTTTTTAATAACTATTTTTCTTCTAATGATAAAAGTATCACCTAACATTAGTGAAAGTTGGAAAAGCATGACAAAGTACCCCCATCCCTAAAACTGCCCGAAGTCCTACTTACTACCCAATGTAATTATAAGTATCTTCTGCATTTCCCAATGCTATTATCACACTTGCTTCCAATCTAAAATAGCAGCAAATTGAGTTTTCTCATCCTGAGTTTTTTCCTTTTAAGCATGATGGTATCAATATTTTTCTCATGCCATTAAACTTTCGTACATACCATTTATAACAGCTATAAAATATCTCAAACCATGAATGCATTATATTCAACTAATCTTCAAGTGAAATTAAAAAAAAATTTCCTCAAAAATAACATGTCTGAGCTGAACAATTTTACTCTCAAATCTTTGTCCTTATTTCAGATTATTTGCTTGGGATAAGAGTGGAGAAGAAACTATGATTGTCATTATTAAGCTTTTCAATACATGTGGCTCAAATTGCTTTTTAAAAGGCTTGTTTCAATTTGCACTATCACAGAGGATATGATTTTTTTTCATATTACTAAGGCCTTGCCTATAAAGTATCAACACATATTCCATAAAATGAATCTTTGTTCGTTTGCAGATAGGAAAAAAAAAAAAAACAAAAAAACCACCTCTGTGTATTTAATTTTTTATTTTCTTTGACTATGAAATAAATTTAAAATTGTCAAGTATTTTTCATCCATGTGTATTTTTTCTTGTGTAACTGACCTTGTACTTTGTTTATTTTTCTTTGGGGATGTTTTATTTTGTTGTTTAAATCAAATTTTTAAAATAATGCCTGTAATCCCAGCACTTTGGGAGGCTGAGGCGAGTGGATCACTTGAGGTCAGGAGTTCAAGACCAGCCTGGCCAACATGGCAAAACCTCGTTTCTACAAAAACACAAAAATTAGCTGGACGTGGTGGCGTGTGCCTGTGATCCCAGCTACTAGGGAGGCTGAGGCAGGAGAATTGCTAAAACCTGGGAGGTGGAGGTTGCGATGAGCCGAGATCACGCCACCGCACCCTAGCCTGGGTGACTGTCTCAAAAAAAAAAAATTAACTTAACTTGCAAAGCTTATTATATATTAATGGTATTTGTTCATCTATAGCATTTGTGGTATATGTATTTCCAGTTTGGTGTATTATTTCTCTACTCAGTTGATATACAGATTATTTTAATATTTATGAGCTTGGATCCATGACACATTTCCTTTGTATTTCTTGCATGGCTTTCATTCTCAGAAAGCCCTTCCGGCTGGGCACGGTGGCTCACGCCTGTAATCCCAGCACTTTGGGAGGCCGAGGCGGGTGAATCACAAGGTCAAGAGATCGAGACCATCCTGGCCAACATGGTGAAATCCTGTCTCTACTAAAAATACAAAAAATTAGCCGGGCGTGGTGGCAGGTGCCTGTAGTCCCAGCTACTCAGGAGGCTGAGGCAGGAGAATGGCGTGAAACCGGGCGGCAGAGCTTGCAGTGAGCAGAGATTGCGCCACTGCACTCCAGCCTGGGCGACAGAGCGAGACTCCAAAAAAAAAAAAAAAAAAAAAAAAAAAAGAAAGCCCCTCTTCATTCAGAGATGAGATTCATGACTATTTCCGCATGGTTATTTTATTATTTCTTTCATGTAATGCTACAGTTCATCTGAAATCTACTTTGGTAAACGGTGAGCTGTAAGAATCTAAATTGATTTATTTTCCAAAGAGCTAGGCAATTGACCCAATTGTCTTAGGAATAATCCATTCACTGCCCATTGTTGTTCGATTCTTCCTTTATATTTAATATTACTTAGATAATTAAAAAAATTCATGCTTTCATTTTGGAGAAGAAAAGGCAAGGCAGTTTATATCTATTAATAACTACTGCTGTGTGCCAGGTACTTTTTTTTTTTTGAGACAGAGTCTCACTCTGTCACCCAGGCTGGAGCGCAGTAGCGTGATCTCAGCTCACTGTAACCTCTGCCTACTGGGTTCAAGCGATTCTCCTGCCTTAGCCCTGAGTAGCTGGGATTACCTGCACCAGTCACCATGCTCAGCTAGTTATAGATATATATACACACACACACACACACACACACACACACACACACACACACACACACATATATATATATATTAGTAGAGACAGGACTTCCCCATGTTGGCCAGGCTGGTCTTGAACTCCAGACTTCAAGTGATCCGCCTGCCTTGGCCTCCCAAAGTGATGGGATTACAGGCATGAGCCATGGCACTTGGCCACACCAGGTACTGTTTTAAGAACTCTACATATCACAGCTCATTTTATACCCCCAGGAACCCTGGAGAGGAGATACTCTCCTTCCTCCCATTTTATAGATGAGGGAATGGCTGCCAAGAGGACCCACACGGCTGGTAACAGCCTACTAGGATTTGAACCCAGCAGGCTGGCTCCAGTCTTCATGTATCCCTAACCGCCCTAGAGACTGCCCTTGCAAGACGTGAGCATCCCATTCCAAATTCCAGCTCAGGAGGGTCACCACTCTACCCCGATGACTTAACCTGTGGTGGATTTACTTTCTCTAAAAGGCAGCAGGCAAAGAATAGGAAAATCCACAGTTGTAGAAAAATGTAAATACTCTATGTCAAAGGGATTCTTCTTAGCTCTAACCTGGTAATCACAGGGAGTCCCAGGGAAGAAAACCAGATTGCAGAGCTAATGGGGTATCTCAACCAAATTGAGAGCACTCGGCTCCCTGCTCCTTGGCCTGACTGCGTGTCACCGATTCTATCTCAAACAGGCATCGCAAGGGAGAATGAGGTGGATGCGTGAGTGTTTCTATACGAAGATGTTCTCAGCAATGGTACTTGTGATATTTTAAAATTGGAAAAGTCACCAGTGTCTATGTTCTCAAGCAAAGTCCAGCTTACACAAAAAGTGGAACCATGTGTGGCTATTAATTACTGACAAAAAGTATTTCATGATACACTTACATATCCTCCATATCATTGAGTAAAATTTCAAACGATTAGGCATTGTGAATGGAATCGTTTTAGCAAAAAAAATACATGGGTATATACACATGCACACACATACACACGCACACACACACATACACACACACACAGAGTCCAGAGGTCCATACATCAAAGTGTACATGTTATCTCTGGTATCCGGATCCCCACGTCCAATCTTGGCTTCGTGACTTATACGCTCTGTGACCTCAGGTAGGTAAGTTAGATAATTTCTCTAAGTTTCAGTTTTCTTATCAAGACAACAGAAGTAACACTAATCTCTCATAAGGTGAAGGTGAAATTAATTTGTATGCAAAAAGCACTTAGAATACTACCCAGTAGTTCAAAAGCACTCAAATATTCACCCCTAGTATTATTATTTTCAAAATGTTCTCAAATGCATATTGATGGTATATGTAATAAGAGAAAAATCGCTTTGCTTTCAGGTTTAGAAAGGTGATATGATCACAGCATAGACAATCTGAGAACATTTCCTCCTTTCTTTGATAAGTGATTCCAGCCCACAGCACAGAGCAATGGAGGACTCCAACCCCCCTGCCTCTCTTTACATCCAAACTTCCTTCTCAATATCTCCATTCACAGGTCTCAGAGGACCTCAAAGTCAAAATTTCCCAAACAGGATTCATTATCTGCCACATATCTCAGGCAAAGAAGACTGTCATAGTCTTTTATCCATAGTCCATTATAACATTCATCACATTTGTTCCCTACCCCAACCCCCTGGCTAGAGAGAATCTTGCTATCAGGGCCGGCACCTCCAAAAACCACTCATTGAATGAATGAGCAACTCTATTTCTCCCCAGCAAAGCAACCTACAGCATATTGAACAGCATTCCAAGCCAAAAGCATGCACTGTCTCATTTACCTCCCCGTAAGCAACCGTATTATTGTATCTTCTCATTTCTGGGTAAACATGGTCCAGGTACCACTGGAAATTCTTACACTTTAAACTTTTCCTTAAGGCTCTTCTTTCAGAGACATCACCGATGTCAATTCCCGGATTCTGAAAAGAGAGAGAAGCCAAGGGGTGTTAGTGACTATGGAACTCTGGCCAGAGTGGGGCACAGGTGGAGTCACTTTCAGGGAAAGCTTCATATAGAAGATCTTAAGCCTGGGCCGGGCGCAGTGGCTCACGCCTGTAATCCCAGCACTTTGGGAGGCCGAGGCGGGCAAATCACGAGGTCAGGAGTTCGAGACCAGCTTGGCCAACATGGTGAAACTCCATCTCTACCAAAAATGCAAGTAATTAGCTGGGTATGGTAGCGGGTGCCTATAATCTCAGCTACTCAGGAGGCTGACGCAGGAAAATCGCTTGAACCCAGGAGGCAGAGGTTGCAGTATGCTGAGATCGCGCCACTGCACTCCATCCCGGGCGACGGTGTGAGACTGCCTAAAAAAAAAGGGAAGAGCTTATGCCTCTTATGCTTATTCAGAAGGGTTTTTTTGTTGTTGTTGTTGTTCTGGTTTTATTGAGACGGGCTGGGAGTGCAGTGGTGTCATCTCGTCTCACTGCAACCTTGTCCTCTTGGGTTCAAGCAATTCTCCTGCCGCAGCCTCCCCAGTAGCTGGGATTCCAGGCTCACGCCACCACGCTTGGCTAATTTTTGTATTTTTAGAAGAGATGGGGTTTCATCATGTTGGCCAGGTTGGTCTTGAACTCCTGACCTCAAGTGATAGGCCAGCCTCGGTCTTCCAAAGTTCTGGGATTACAGGTGTGAGCCACCGCACCTGGCAGAAAGGGCGGAGACCTATTTGACTCATCCAGACCCAGGCCAGGGAACCCTCGTTCCTGAGCAAAGTCAGGAACCTGCAGCAACAAAGGTCCCAGCCAAGCCAACCATCCTTATCATTGCTGTGCAAATGGATTTCTGGGACACACTGATGTTGATGACTTACATTCTCAGTTTCTTCTCTTCCACATTTCCTTAGTAACTATCAGAGACAATTATTAGAGGAATTATTTGATTAGGACAAGAAAAGAAATGCCTACAACCACCTCCTGTCTTTCTTTCCTATACCTGCAAAATTTCTCCTTTTGTTGGCTCTTTGCGAAGTTCATTATATGCAGAAGTGAAAATAATTTTCCATTGCAAAGCTTGTAATGATGTTCTAATGAATAATTCACTCTGCTTTTACAGAAATGAACCTGTAATGGCTGCTGTGTGCTGACAGGGAAAATAAAGTATCTGAAATATGACTCCACAGACTCAGCTGCAAGATGGCTAGGAATTAGCAGAGACAGGATGCACTGGGGGCCTAAGAGAAGACTTCCAATTATGTCATTAAGATCACTTGGGCAGTCAAACAGTGACTTTAAAGGGAAATCTCTTTAAATGTCAAATTTACTCAATCTCAAAGACAACCCTGAGCAGTAACCTTTAACTCTTTGTTTTAATATATTTAGCATGATTCATGAAATGGTCTTTTTTTTTTTCTGAGATGATGTCTGGCTCTTGTTGCCCAGGCTGGAGTGCAATGGTGCGATCTTGGCTCACTGCAACCTCTGTCTCCCAGGTTCAAGTGATTCTCCTGCCTCAGCCTCCCAAGTAGCTGGGATTACAGGCATGCACCACCACACCCAACTAAGTTTGCATTTTTAGTGGAGACAGGATTTCTCCATGTTGGTCAGGCTGGTCTCAAACTCTCGACCTCAGGTGATCTGCCCGCCTCGGCCTCCCAAAGTACTGGGATTACAGGTGTGAGCTAAGGGTCATTTTTAAAAAGCCTGGTAGGTTACCACTGGCATTTGGGACAAGAGATTGTCTGCAGTCACGGACAAAGCACTTGGCTACAGTCAAAAGACTTGAGTTATTTGTAACTCTAAGTCACACCACCATTCCAGGTCAAAACTTGAGGCCAGGTGCAGTGTCTCACGCCTGTAATCCCAGCATTTTGGGAAGCTGAGGTGGGAGGATTGCTTGAGCCGAAGAGTTTGAGACCAGCCTGGGCAACCTGGCAAAACCTCGTCTCTACAAAAAATATAGAAGTTAGACAGGTAGAGGGCGCACGCCTGTGGTCCCAGCTATTCAGGAGGCTGAGGTGGGAGGATGGCTTGAACCTGGGAGATGGAAGTTACAGGGAACCAAGATCGTGCCACTACACTCCAGTCTGGGTGACAGAGTGAGACCCTATCTCATAAAAATAAACAATTCCCCTTTACAAAGCAGGAATAATAATAATACCGATTTCACTGTTTCACAGGGCTGGGGTGACGTTTTGTATGAGGACCTGAACTGACATCCCTGCCCATGTGCTTTGTGTGGGGCCTTAAGCAAACCCCTTTTAGCTTCTCATAGCTTCAATTTCTTCATCTGTAAAATGAACATCATAAAACGTTCATATCAAGCTAACATTTATGGAACACTTAATATTTGCTAAGCTGTGTTCTCAGCCTTATTTTATCTTCACAGGCATCCTATCAGGTAAATTTTAACAATCCGTGTTTATAGATGAGGAAACTGAGGCAGACAGTTCTTATGTCATGAGGTTGTTATGAGAATTAAATGAGATATTACAAATAACGATTTATTAGGTACCTGGGACATAGTAAGTGCTCAACAAATGTTACCTATATTTAAATAATAATGGCTAAAAGCACTTAATTGCTTAATAAAAGTGCTAAGTGGCCAGAAGGAGTTTTTTAATTCTCGAGAATGTATTTCAAAACCTATTTCACAACACTGAATAAATTCCTCACTTTTATCTTCTTGACCCGCAAATCTGGCACATATCCAACCGTATTTCTTCTATTCCGGGCTGTAGCCTCCTGACACATAGGCGTTGCCATCTCTCAATGGGCACCGCTGCAGGTGACTTTCCAGCATGGCTCAAACACCTATGGGTACTCTGGCTGAGGAGATAAACTGACCTGTGGCTGAGGGTGCAAGTCACGCCACTGTGCAGCATAGGATGAACCACGCATCCTGTGCCAGGTGCCACTCTCAGCATGCCACATGTATGAATTCATTTAGTTCTTACAATCACCCCAGGAAGGAGAATCTGCTATTATTCTCATTTTACAGCTGAGGAAAATAAGGCACAGTTGACCCTCTATATCCACGGTTTCTACATCCATTGGTTCAACCAACTGCAGACTGAAAATATTTTTTAAAAGCCCAGCAAGAACAATATCACAATAAAAAAACACAAATAAAGCATAAGAAGTATTCACATAGCATTTACATTGTATTATCTATAAGTAATCTAGAGATGATTCAGCCATAAAAATAAATAATTTAACAGTATTTGCAATGACCTGGATGAGATTAGAGAGTATGATTCTAATGGAAAACCAAACACCATATGTTTTCATTGATATGTGGGAGCTAAGCTCTGAGGACGCAAAGGCATAAGAATGATACAATGGACTTTGGGGACTTTGGGGGGAAGAGTGGGAGGGGGCGAGGGATAAAAGACAACAAATATGGTGCAGTGTATACTGCTCGGGTGATGGGGGCATGAGGATCTCACAAATCACCACTAAAGAACTTACTCATGTAACCAAATACCACCTGTACCCCGATAACTAATGGAAAAATAAAATTTAAAAAAAAAACTTTGTGCTGCTATATATATATATATATATATATGGGAGGTTATGCTTAGGTTATATGCAAGTACCATGCCATTTTGTATCAAGGACTTGGGCATCTGTGAGTTTTGCTATCCACAGGGAGTCCTAGAACGAATCCCCTGGGGATACCAAGGGATGAATGGTACAGAGAAGATGAGTGGATTTGGTCAAGATCTCCTGATTCACAAATGATAGAGCTGGGATTCAAACCACGCTGACGTACAACTACCGCACGACACTCCTGTGGGACTGCAGTAACATGGAGATTTCCTTGGGTCATCTTCTGAGCAGAATGCGGAGGAGAGCTGAAGAACTAGGGGATCTGGCATAGAGTAAAGGCATACGACACAGGGCAGCTGGAGCTCCACGGGAAGTCACACACAGTGACAGGATGAAGGGTCTGCTGCCAAATATCTGGGCAAGAACTTTGTGGACATAGCATATGATCAGGAGCAGGGCAGTCAGATTAACATAGTAAGACTGGGATTAACACAGTAAGACTCTTCTAATCTCTGTAAGTGGATTTAAATACATTTCCAATGTGCTAGCCCTTGCGTTAGGCAGGAGTTCTAAAGCTGAGACATCTGTGAACCCCTTTGAAATGCATTCATAATTTTTCTAAGCATGAGCATTTTCTGGGGAGGAACGATTTGTTTATTAAAGAAATCGTGACCAAATAGTAAGGATCACTGTTCTGGGGTGGTGGGGAAAGGCTGGTGATCCCTACCTCCAGCGGCAGGTTCCACGCTATGTACACATGAGACTTGTAATCGTCCATCCAGACCTCAGCAACGCGGAGAGCATTCCTCTTGGTGTAGAAGCCGATGTTGCTATTATATGGCTTCTTCTTCCGCTCAATGTGGGCCACCCGTGAGCAAGGAAGGACCTCCATGCTGCCCCCACAGAGCCATACCTAGGGGTACAAAGATTTCATCAGCCTGAAAAAGAAATTCCCAGAAGCTATGCCTCCTCCCCAAGCCCAAAAGCAATGGTTCAGCTGACTTTGCATACATGTGAAATACATTTTAATATATAAAGCCAATGAGAGGTTGTGCACGGTGGTTCATGCCTATAATCCCAGCACTCTGGGAGGCCGAGGTGGGCAGATCACTTGAGGTCAGGAGTTGGAGACCAGCCTGGCTAACATGGTGAAACCCCGTCTCTATTAAAGATAGAAAAATTAGCCAGGCATGATGGCATGCGCCTATAATCCCAGCTACTCGGGAGGTTGAGGCACAAGAATCACTTGAACCTGGGAGGTGGAGGTTGCAGTGAGCTGAGACCGTGCCACTGCACTCCAGCCTGGTTGACAGGGCAAGAGTCTGTTTCTAAATACATAAATAAATAAATAAATAAAGCAAGCCAATGAAAGTTCAAGGCTGGTTTGTTACTGCTGTGTGGTCTAACATAACCTGACTAAAACATATAAAAAAGAGGCTTGTGAGAATTCTTATAGAAAAAACAGCTCAGGATATAAAATCCACCTCTAGGTACGAAAGGCCCATAAACCTAAGCCGGCCATGGCAGCACAACAGTTTTCTTAAGTTCTCAATAACACCCAATTGGCATTTCTGAAGGTTGTCTTTCCCACCTGGCTGAAGCTATGCCCTGCCAATGTAGAATGGAAAATTCATACCACGAAACAGATCTTCTTTATTCATATCAGCACAAGCTGTGTATAATGATTTAGTTCTGTAGTATGTTTTGTTTTGAGACAGGGTCTCTCTCTGTCACCCGGACTGGAGTGCAGTGGTGCGATCACAGCTCACTGTAACTTTGAACTCCTGGCTTCAAGTGATCCTCCTGCCTCAGCCTTCCAAGTAGCTTGGACTACAGGTATGTGCCTCCATGCCCAGTTAATTTTTAAATATTTTTTGTAGAGATGAGGTCTCGCTATGTTGCCCAGGCTGGTCTCACACTCCTGGCCTCAAGCGATTCTTCCACCTAGGCCTCCCAAAGTGTTGGTATTACAAGCATGCGCCACTACTCCCAGCCTAGTTGTACACTGTTAATATGCTCTACTTTGGAGTCCTATGGGTACAGATGCCAAGCCTTCTGGAAGCATCCACTCCAATGCCATCATGAGCAGCTGTCGCTTGCTATTACTGAACTATTCAGAAGGAAGGCTGCAATGATGGCTGCCTTTGAGGGATGCAAAAGCCCAAGGACGTGGGACTTCCCATCCCTCTGCACGGGGATGGCAGGCACCTAGGCTGTAAGGCCCTGCTCCAAAAGGAAAGCTGGACCATCCAACTTCTCTTGGTCCAGGTGGGAAAATAAAAAAATAAAAACCTTATTGTCAAGAAAAAATTAATTTATGGAAATGAAGTTCCCAGTACCAGTAGAAAAAAAGGAAAATGACAGAAAAGTTTCTGTGAGGGACCTGTGAGGCTGTTCTGCTGTGAAGACACTGTATGCTCTGCATAAGTGACAGTTTTTGCAGGTGAGCTGACTCAGGTGGGCTTTCTCCAAGATGAGTCACTTCAAGCCATTCCACCTTTAGTCTCCCAGTAACTGCCATAGCAAGAATACTGGGACACTCTTGAGTGTCGGCATACCCCCTTCTTGACTTTTGTTGACTGAATTTGGTGGCAAAATTTGTTTGGGTGTGTATGATGTTTTGTTTCTATTTCCCAACTTTGGTTATACTACAGGGAAATGATACAGATAGAAAATTCTCCCATAAAGCAAGAATCCTCACTTTGCTTGCTTCTTCCAGGAGGAACTGTGGGCTAAGTGGTTAGCAGAGAATAGATGTTCCAGACTTCTTTGATCTGGGACTGGACAGCTAGATGCCCTAGCATGTTAGGTTAGACCCAGCTGCTGGCCACGGAAGGAAGTCAAGGAGGCTAAATGTTGGCAAAGGGCCTGGGAATAGAGACAAGAAATTGGTGTCTTAGAGACTAAAACAAGGCAGCTGAATTTCAAGGGACGGACAATATATAAAGAATCAGGGTCTCACAATGATGTTGCAAGACTCAGGGAATGAATGAAAAGATGTACCACATTCAAGGACTGGAAGAATTAACATTGTCAAGATGGTAATATACCCAAAATTGATCTAAAAATTCAACACAATCCCTATAAAATTCCCAGCTGGATTCCTTGAAGAAATTAACAAGCAGATCCTAAAGTTCATAAGGAAAAACAAGGGACCTCAAATAGCTAAAGCAACCTTGAAAAGAACAAACTGGGAGGACTTCACTCCCCAATTTCAAAATTTAATACAAAGCTACTATAGTCAAGACGGTGTGGTACTGGCATAAGGACAGACATACAGATCAATAGAATAGAACTGAGGTCCAGAAATAAACTCTCACACTTATGGTCAACTAACTTTCAACAAGGGTGTCAAGACAATTCACTGGGATAAGGAATAATATCTTCAACAAATTGTGCTGGGACAACATGCAAAAGAATGGACATGGCTCCTACCTCACACCATATGAAAAATTAACTCAAAATGGATCAATGGCCTAAACTAAGAGCTAAAACTATAAAACTCTTAGAGTAAAAATTCATGACTTTCAATTAAGCAAATGTCCAACAATTGATTAATGCATAAACAAAATGTAACATATCCATATGATGGAATATTATTTGGGAAAAAATGAAAAGTTGATACATGCTACAATATGGATAAACCTGGAAAGCATGCTAAGCAAAATAAGCAAGTCACAAAGGACTATATATTCTATGATTCCATTTATATCACATGTCTGGTAAATAAATTGATGCTTGCTTGGGAGGTGGTGGGCGGGGGGGGGGGGCGCTGGAGGAAGGTAGAGTGACTGCTAATGGGTTTGGGGTTTCTTTTTAGGGTGATCAAAACATTCTAATATTGATTGTGGTAAACTTTGCACAGCTCAAATATACTGAAAAAACCATTGAGTGGCACACTTCAAATGGACGAATTGTAAGGGTATGTGAATATATCTACAAAGCCGTTATAAAAATAGATAGATAGATAGATAGATAGATAGATAGATAGATAGATAGATAGATAGATAGATAGATAGATACATAGATACATAGATACATAGATAGATAGATAGATAAACAGAGAGATGGGGGAAAGTAGATGCGGGGGTGAATCTCAGTTTGGGGAGGCTCAGGAGGATGGATGGAAGCAAAGCAGAGTTCTTCAAGGACTCATTACTTAGCAGGGATGACAGACACAGGTGCATAAGAGACCTTAGCAAAAGCCTGAAGCCCTATCATGAGAACGGAGGTGCCAAGTGGGAACAGAACCCACAAGCCAGGCTGACTTGGCACCACATCCTCCATAAACCATCCAGACCAAAGTCAGGATGGCTTTCACGCCTGAGGTGCAGCCAAACTGCCAAGACGGTTCAAGTGGATGTAGGTGTTAGGAGTGGAGGTGAGAGGATGGAGGAGCCAGATGTTGGCTGTGTTAGCCCTGTGTTGGACACCAAGCCTTTTAAGCAAGGGGAGGGAGATGGTAAACAGATATGTGGCAGGAAGCTCAGCACGTCTGTCCCGTGTGGCAGAGACATGGGCTTCCTCTTCTGGGCTCTGTGGTGTGGATATCAGCCAGCACACTCAGTGGGCATTGACCTAGGGTCCCTCAGCTCTCCCTGTAAAGTCTGGGGAGGACTCAGGGGCTCCTGGCCTGGCAGATGTCTTGAAGGCATGCCCCACTGTGGGGTCTAGCACGCCCAGGGTGAACTGCCAGGATCAGTGCCTGCCCAGGAATCCTGCTGCTGGCCTGGATGCCCACAACATTGCCATTGCCGGGCATGCATTGTGGTCATTATCCTGCCTGCCCCAGCCTACTCTGCACTTTAGCTCATCACCTCCAGTGACTCAGACTGGATTTAAAATCCTAAGCATGAACTGTCATTAGCAGCACCTCTTGGGTGAGACAGAAAACGAGGGCTCCTCTTGCTCACCTCTCCTCTGCTCTCCACTTTCACAGCTCCCTCCCCTTAGAGAGGCCAGTATACCCGCTGCTCTGCCTGCTCCAGACCCCAGGACCAGTCCAGTAATGACAGAAAACACCAAACACCAACTCCCTCATCAGCTCATCACAGATGAGGAAACTGAGGGTAAGAGAGGTGGAGTAAGTGATTTATAACCCCACAGTCAGTAAGGGGAGAAGTCAGAACCACACCCGCCACCACATGTGACAGCAGCAGGCACTGGCTTCTCCTGCCCAGGGAGAGCTGACCAACAGCCTGTAGACCGCTTGGCTCCTCCTCAGCCACAGCCCTGTCCCTCACTCCAGGTGCCTGGTTGGCACCTCTGACCTGCATTGTAACCACAGGGATCAGGGGAAACAGTGAGGACAGAGCTGGGTGTATGTGTATATCCAGAGGAAGTTCCATGGATCTGGAGTGGCACCAATGATATCCTAGGGTAGGAGGTCAAAGCCTGCTGCTGCACAATGCCATGTGGCAGCATGGTTGTGCAAGGGACGCTGGAAGATGCCTGGGAGACAAGTGATTCTCTAGGCCCAAGGCTCTGCTCTATGTTGCTTGGCAGTGATCACCGGCAGAGCTCATGGGCTGGCTCTAAGTGACGATAAGCTGATGTGAAGTCTGCCAGTGGTTAAGCAACCAGGCCTACATAGCAGAAGGAAAGAAATGCAAGAAAGTGGACTGAAGGCTTTGAGCCTTAGCAATAAACCAACAGTCCAGCTAAGTCCCCTATGGAGGGGTATTCCCGGAAGGAGTGATATTCCACCTTGGCCTCCGAGCCCACCCAAGAGGTCTGGAAGCAAAAGGGGCACCCTCCCTCTAAAGGGAGCGATCCAGTTTATGTTTCTACCACACATAAGACCCAGCTATGAGTATCCCAAGTACAGCTGGTCCCAAGAAAGGGTCCTGTGGATCTGTTCTCTACATCAATGTTTACCAGCCCACATGGCGAGTTCCTAGGCAGGCTGAAGAA